GCCCCCCCACCCGCGGAGCCGACCCTGCGGCATGGCAGCCCCGCCTCGCAGGGCTGGGACAGCGGCTGGAGCAGGGCACCAGGCCGGGGCTGGATTCGGGTCCCGAAACGCACTCGCTTGGTGCCGGGAGAACCAACCAGGAGACTCCATAACGACGCGGGAGCTCTGAGGGTCGCCATGAGTATCCAAGGCCACTGGCGCCGGAAACCCCCGCGAGCGACTTCCGGGTCGAGCGCAACTCATGAGGCATTCTGGGAAATGTAGTCCGGGCGAGGGCGGAGAGAGCCGGAGGCCTTATGGGCCCTTAGGGTTTGTGTCCACTCGCCCTGTTTACCTCCAGACGGTGTCCTTCCCTGGGAGCTAAAAGTGAGACTCACAGCTTTCCCATGTGATCTTCCTCGTGGGCGTGAAAATCTCATTTCCATGGTTGTAAATAACATTCCATTTCCGAACTTTTCTCCCATCTGCAGGTTTAAATCCAGCGTCCTGTTTCCTTCCCCATTCGATCTTCGCACACACGCCCCAAATCCGACCAGCGCGATTACCACCAGCACCGGCAAAATCACTACCAACTCACACACCTGTTCTCTGTCTCAGTGCTGCCGCCTTATTTAATAGCTCTCTCCACAGTTCATGATGAGTTCGCTTATTTATCTTATTGCTTGTTTTTCTCACCCCAGGAAGACAGTGACTCTACATATTTTATTGTACTTGTCTAATACATTTATGTGCAGAGCAAACGTTTGGTGAATAAATAAATGAACGATTAAATGGCCCTGTTATGTTCCCTCTCAACTATCTGGGATCTTATTCTTCCCTAGAAAATGGGTCGGTTCCTGTGCTAAGCATTTGTCCCAAGGTCTCACAAGAGGTTAAATAGACATTTGTTTGAATGAACTGGATGAATAGAATCACCTTCTAACCTCCCCCACCCCATTAAGAACTGTTTATTAATTCATTCTCTATTTAGATAGCCGAAGGAAAGAGCCTAGGCTTGGCACTGATTCAGGCATGACTGCTGCCCCGTGCTTCCCAAAACTTCCTCTCACACCTGTGTGCTAGCAGATGTCAGGCAGTAGAAGTGGGATGTGTGCAGCTGAGAGGGCAGGTCTTAGTGGCTATGTTTTTCCTAACAACATCCTACTAGACATAGCTATTTGGGCAATGGGCAGGTGCTTAGTGCAGGAAGAATGAATCTGTTTGGCTGCTGTAACAAATTACCACAAGTTTGGAGGCTTAAAATGACAGAAGTCAATTATCTTGCAAATCTGCATGCCAAATATCTGACAACAGTATCACTGCGCTGAAATGAAAATATCGGCAGACCTTACTCCCTTCACAGACTTCCAGGGGATATCTCTGTCTCTTGTCTCTTCCAACTTCTACTGGCTGCCAGCATTCTTTGTGGCTACGTCACTCTGATCTCTGCTTCTATCTTCGCAGCTTCTCCTTTTGGGGATATATTCAGTATTATATTTTGAGAAATAAAGTCTGAAATATTAGTATCTAAGACAAATACTGTTGTAGTTAGCAAGATAGGAACTGGAAGTCCCAAGAGTCCAGCAAAAAGGGTATCTGACAGGTCACTTACTGTCATCCAGGGTTGCAGCCAGACTCCCTGGCACCATTCGAGGTTATCTGACTTTTACTAAAAAATTGTCCTTAGGGGACCTAGAGTATGTAATTTCCCCCACCTCTTGCAAGGACACATGTGCACACAGATACTTTCATGGCTGCCTGACTTACAGATACCTTATTCTAGGGGTGTTTAACTAATATGGTCAACACTGTCTGTCTCTGTCTCTCTCTGTCTGGCGAGCGCACACGCCCTATAACAAAAAACCTCTCCAAAAAAAAAAAGTTCATGTATTAGAAAAAAAAAAAGACCCCACAATAAAAGAAATACCTAACTCCATAGTGCCCAGTAACTTACTTGCTCAACCCTCTCTTGAGTATTCTAATTAAGACTTATCTTTTTCATGACTTTACTCATTTTGGCCAACTCCATGGTTTGAGTTCCAGATTCAATGGCTTTAAACTCACAATCCCTTCACCTTTACCTCCATTCTCCTCTCAGGATTTTTGGGCATGCGCACATGTACCTGGGATGCGTTCGCGTCAACATTTGCGTGTGCGTTTGCACTAACACTAGCATTAGCGTCAGCATTTGCGTCAGCATTTGCGTTTGCGTTAGCGCTGGATTTAGCGTTTGCATTAGCGCTCAATTTAGCGTTAGAGCTCGATTTAGCGTTTGCGTTAGCGTTTGCGTTAGCGCTCATTTTAGCGTTAGCGTTTAGCGCTCCATTAGCGTTAGCGTTAGCGTTTTTTGATTAGCGTTAGCGTTTGCGTTTAGCGCTCAAGTCAGCGTTTAGCGTTTTGCGTTTGCGTTAGCGCTCGATTTAGCGTTAGCGTTTTGCGTTAGCGCTTCATTAGCGTTAGTGTTTCCGTTAGCGCTAGATTTAGCGTTAGCGCTAGATTTAGCGTTAGCGCTTGATTTAGCATTTGCGTTAGCGTGGTGTTTTATGTTAGCATTAGCACTTGCATTAGCATTAGAACTAGTATTTTGCGTTTGCGTCTGTGCTAACGCTAGCATTCGCTTCAGCGTTTGCATTTGCACTAGCGTTAGCGTTAGCACTAGCGCTAGCGTTGGCGTTTGTATTAGCACTTGTGTTAGCGTTTGCGTTTACATGTACATTGCATTTACGTTAGCACTTACGTTTGCACTAGCATTTGCATTAGTGTTTTTAATTTATTTTTATGTTTTTTATTTATGAGGAGGCATCTTCAGGTCTCTAGGAAAGTCATACATGAAAAATTCCTATGAACAAAATATTATGGTTATTTCCAAATAGTAAACCAATTTAAAAGGTAAGTTTTAGAGTGAGTTTTATTTATATGATGCAGAGCAGGGATTGGACTTTGCTAATTAGGGTCACTGTTAAATGGGAAAAATATGGTCTGTTAATGTTTGTGGGTGTGACTCTCCCCAGGCTTTCTGGAAAGAACTTTGGAAAAATAGGAAAAAACAGTCAGACTTCTGTCCACAGTCCCCCACTGGCCAAAAATCATTCCTCTTAATGAATGTGTAGGTCACAAAATTGACAGGTCCCATGTTTCTAGGAAGGTTCATCCCTAGTAGTAGTCATTTCAAGAACATTAATCTCATAAATTCATGATTTGAACATATTAGTACCAATAATATGCAAAAAAAATACAATTGACAATGATCCTTTCATAAACTGATATATCAGATTAGCTAGTGTATTTAGGTCCCACTCTGATAATCCAAGATAATCTCTCCATTTCAAAATCTCTAACTTGGGGCTATAGGAGAAGTTGGCAGTCTCCACTGGAGTTAAAGTTTCTTGTAATTTTCACTTGCTGGAAGAACTTGAAGAAGGACAAAAAGGAGTAGGCAGTGGTTCCGTTAGCCAGGGCCTTGAAGATGATGAAGATGTGACACTTACAAGGTGGACAGGCATGATTATTGGGCCACCAAAGACAAATTATGAAAACAGAGTATATAACCTATATAGAATGTGGATCTCAATACCCAGAAGCTCCTCTATCAATTAGATTTGTAACCAAAAATTATATGAATGACATAAATAATGCCGGTGGGATGGTGTATGCACGGAGCATACCAGTGTTGGCAAAATGGCAAAACTTCCAGCATTAAAGTCGTCCCTCAAGAGCTACGATGTCTAATGTTGTCCAAAGAAAATATGAAGCTTCCACAGCCACCAGAAGGACAAACATACAACAATTAATTTTAGAGAATCTCAAATCTGTCTTAAATCAACAACCTTCTACTCATATAAATGTCTCGATTAAATATCACAATGCAAATACCCACACATTAAGTAAAAGAATTCCAGCTGGTAAACATGACCGGACATTTGTAAGCATGTATTTAACATATATATACCCATTATGTTTTCAGGTAACAAAAGGGACAATGCAGCACAATTTTTTTCTCTTGTTAAGGCACTGTCGTTTATGCGTAAGCCTGGAGTATTTAAAATAGAATTTGAGTTTTCAAGATGAAAGCGTGGCAACCAGTGTAAGAAGGCAGTGATGTAAGCATGTGTGTTCCTGAAAAGTAAAGAATCTCAAGAAGGGAAAACAGGAATGACACGATTTATCCATCTCGCTTAGTGAAAGAGCTGCCATCAAAATTATTTAAGGTAGCAGGTACAATGGGTATTGTTACAAATTGTGTTAATTTTTGAAGCGGTGTGGGTGCTGACTTCTAGTAGTATCAAAAATATGTTCAGGATTGTTTTGAAGAGGTTTGTTTTGTTTTGTTTTGTTTTGTTTTGGCTATAGGGCGCATGCACTCGCCAGACACAGAGAGAGACAGAGAGACAGAAAGCCAGAAATCACCCCCCAGGGGGGATGGCCACACCGCAATCCCTTCTCCCTCTCCTCCATTCTCCTCTTGGGATCTTGGACACGTGCGCACACGGACCCAGCATGAGTTATAAGCTGCCAGGTCCGGGACGCGAACCGCAGTCTACTACATGGGAGTCCAACGACATAGCCATTATGCTAACTGCTGGTCCCTGTTCAGGATTGTTGTGATCCCTGTATTTATAATAAAGAAATGCCGGGGGGAGGTGTATTGATGAATTTCCGTTAAAATCTGTTCCTGTGTGTTACGTGTGACAGACATGGTAAATATTTGTTCACAGTTTTGTTTAACAAACCATGCATTTAAGTTGAGAAGTCAACAAAAAGGAAATAGGTGTATGAATATGCAATTTTGAGATTAAAGTTAGTCTGAAAGGTAAATAAAAAGTGGACTGTGTCCTCGAAAAACAAAACAAAACAAAACTTCAATTACGTTTGCAAAGATTGTTTCCATATAAAGAATGTCACAGGTTTCAGGGATTTGGAGATAACGATCCGGGGTGGGGGGCATTTTTCAGCCTAACCTAGCTGACGAGGCACCTGGCAGCTTTTCTCTCACTAATTCAAACTAAGAGACATAGAAACTATAGTTGATGATGGAAGCTGGAGGCGAATAATGGGAGTTTAGGCTGAAGTGGCCTTTTTCACCAACATGATCCTCGATGAGTGAGCAGAGAAAGTCAGTCTGCAAAGAAAGGCAAGAAAACGGAGCTCAAGAGCAGACATGGGAGACTAGAGAGAGAGGGATGGAGAAAGGTGCTGTCTTGGCCGGAGAGCCTCCCACTTC